TAAAGTGCCCGCCCCCGCGAGCATTCGCGTCTCCACGTAAACATGCGTCTGGTGCGCCTACGTAAGAAAACGACAATCGCGCTACACATATTGGGTATTGCCGCGCATGCCAAAGTGAGAGAAATCATTCTCAGGCCAATATTTACATGTATCTGTAAACTGATGATCTGTGGGGGCTTTTTAAATATGTATTTTGTAAGCTTACGTCTGTACCCCGACGGGGACAGGCTGATTTACCTTCTTGTCATGTATTGTTAAAACTTTAATAAAGACTATCTGCTAAAAAAAAAAAAAGCGTTGTCTATGGACTTTTTGGGGTATTGAATTTTGTTGCAGTTTCACAGACGCACACAATTTTTAACCTGGGCATGTTGGGTATCTACTCATTGTAACCTCATATTTTATTTTAAAAAATGGGTATTGTGTTTTGGGGCATTTAAGTGCATTTTTTCACTAAAGTGTGGGGTTTGATAAGGAGCTGCGCTAATATCGTGCAACATAAAAATTTGCAACTGCCACCATTTTATTGTATAGGGTCTTGACTTTCAGAAAATATATACTGTTTGGGGGTTTTAAGTAATTTTCAGGCCTAAAATGTGGATTATAACATGTAAACGAAAAAAGGCCTCAGTCATGAAGGAGATAATAATAAAGGACTTGTCAAAAACTGGCTTTTGTTTTTTTGTTTAACCTCTTCATGACTGAGCTTGTTTTTAGTTTCTGTACGTAAATGACTGACACACTTTTGACATTTTTGCTGTGTGATTCTTTCACGTCAGTAATACTTTCTTATAAAGTGCACCCACACATATTATATATTGGTTTTAGAGGACAAATACAATATAAAAAAACAGGAAAAAAACGTAAAGAAAGCACTTTTCCCCCAGTTTTGATTTGTAGTATTTTTTAGAAAATAGCACAGCTAAAAAATATGCATTAAATACATTCATTTATTTGGAAAAACCTCACTTCCCTAGGATTTTAGAAAATTTTCTGTACTTCTCAGCATAAAACTAAAACGTTTTATTTTAACCTATTTTCTCTAAAAGCTAAAGCTAAAAGTGCTCACCTGGCATACAATGTCACTGTCACTAAGTGTCACACTTAGTGACTGCGACATACTTGAAACATCACTGACATGAGGGGGTTAAATTAAAAAAACATGAACCCCGTAGGGTGAAAATCTCAGCTGCAGATCTTCATCGTCATGGGTTAATTTTTATATTACTGATAGTATAAAAATATATTTAAATATGTAATTTTTATTTGATACATTTATTTTCATTTTTTACACTTTATAAAAAATTTTAGTTTTTACACTTTATATTTTTTTACACTTTTCACTTTAAAAAAAAAAAAAATATTTTATGTATTATATCAAACAGTCATTGTGAATTAATCTCACTATTTACTGCTTGGTATTTTAATTAATTTTTGATTTATTATTAGGCTGCTTCAAACTGAAGAACAGCCAATAATTACCTTAGTGACACTGATCCTGCCACATTTCAGGATCAGATGTCACTAAAGGTTTTCTGATCGTTCCAACAATGATCAGAAACCTAAAACATTCTTTCAGCAATAAAAACATCTATACCAGCTGTCAGTGATGGCTAGAGCTGCTCTCACTGTCAGACACCCGATTCCTGAAAGAGATTGGGTGTCTGAAAAAGCTTAACTCTTTCATTAATGGATACCTCAATACTGAGGCATACATTAATGAACGGTAACCGCTGATTCTCATCAATTACCAGCCTTACAGAGCCCCAAATAGCTGATCACATACAGTGTATGTGAGCAGTCATTTGGGCACTTTGTGGCGGGAAGTACAGTGTCTCCCGTCGCAAAGGGGTTAAATAAAGGAGTTTTTCAAGGTGTGGTGTGTTTTTTTATTTTTGATGTACTATTTGGTGAATGAATAGGGGTAATAATACCCCTTACTCATTCACGGGTGTGGGGGGAGCACCCGGATGCAGATGAGCCCTCGCAGGCCTTTATGTCCTCCTTGGTAATGTGCTTCTTCACTGTGCGACTAGTAATCTCATACTTTGGTTTGAAAATATTAAGATATAGGGATGCAGATACTTTTCGAGTACCAGTGCAGAGAACTACCAGGGTTGCAGTTAAGAATCTCCACATGGATGGGAAAAAATAGCCCATGTTTTTAGGGAGGGGAGAAAAAACAACAGAGCTCTGTGAAAAATAACGTACATATGTATGAAAAAAGAAACAAAATAAGTCAATTTGGATTAAAGAATTGAATTCAACTCACAATGGAGTATGTCCTCATTTGGGAAACCGACTTTGGAGATGAAAGGTTATTTTCCCACTATTGTGATTACATCCGGTCAATGAAAAACAGGAGACTCAGGAGATACAGCTGTATCTCGGCTTTGTAGGTTAGTTTAGTAGATTATTGCCTTAACTGAATACCCGTATTCGTTCCATGGGGTTTATTTTTTTTCTCCAAAGTTGTTGAAGGAGAAGAGATCCTTGATGGAGCAAAAAGCCAGACGACGTTTTCCTAAAAAGGTGCGGAGTAACTTGGTATCTTTAATCCTTTGGTTGAAAGTCCAAAAGGCTCGAAGAAAAGTTGCAGTCAAATGTATAACGAAAGCTTGGTGATAGCTATGCAGGTTTCAGGAGATAGCACTATCTCGGCTTTTCTGTTCGTATTGAATGGAAGCCTTCACTGAGATATAAGGTCTCCTTTTTCTCTTCCTTTCTCCACAGGAGACTCTAAACAAGCAGGTTCTTGCTAGTATGCCAGATTCCAAAAGCTCTTAAATAAATATTTTTAGGCAAAAAACAAAGGGGCCTCAGCAGGAGCAGCCACATGCAGAGAACCTTCACTGAACGTCTATGACGCTTTTCACCCCTTCCCACACCGGGGCTTCATCAGAAGGGCGTTGTTCAGTAAGGGTTCTTTAGTTCTCTCTTCTAGATATATGAATTCGTAATTGGTTTAATTAGTAACACATGAAGCACATTTAAAGCACATCATGTTTCTGTTTGTGTCCCCAGTGGGCACATTTCTTTCAACCGGAAAGATATTCAGTGTTACAACTTGTACTGAAAAGTTATTTATGTGTAAAAATAAAATACATTTTTGATAAACGTTTTCAGACCATTAATTTCTAACGAGACAAATTATATTTAAACGTATAAATGTTGTCAAACGATACATATAAAGTCCATGTATAAAGAAGCATACATATTTGTTACATGTTTTTTTCTCTCTGTGTATTTTTTCCAGAATTGCATAGAGGACATTCAGATGGGATGGCAGGAGATACATATAAGTTACATATAGATTTCATTATTTAGTATTATTTATACCTTAATTCTTTGCCTAGCAAAGTAAAAAAATAAATAAATGGATAAACGGATAGGAAATCTCCAAGCAAAAACAGATTTAGTTAATTATATATAGTTGATTCTTTAGGGAATTTCCCTTACTATTATTTTAAATTTTCAGGATCCTCCATGACATTCCGATCAACACAAGAAAAACATAAACAACAATCAATGACTTTTAGATTTAAAATAAAAGACAAATGTTTCTCTGATTGTAGGTATGTGTCTGATACAAATCCTAACTCTTATATAAGGAAAAGAAACAATTTCAGTTTGGAAGGGGACTCCAATTATGAAGGTTAGAGAGGGGGGAGGTACATGTGACATGTTTTACATAGGGAAAACAAAAAGAATGCTAAAAAACAGAATTTCTGACCATATGTCTGATATTGGGGCACATGATCTTAGATCCCCCATTACCAGACATATGGTACATGTACATGGGGGAAAAACCCAGGGACTTAATTTATTTGTCGTGGATAGAGTCCACATGTCGAGTGGGGGGGTGACTGGGATAAACTCCTACTCCAAAGAGAATGCAAATGGATCCACTCCACCAGATCCTATGAAAAACCAGGAATTAATGAAGCCATCAACTTCAGTTGTTTTTTGTGATTAAACCCGCCCCCCTCTCTCTAACCTTCATAATTGGAGTCCCCTTCCAAAATTTCCTAAATGAGGACATACTCCATCGTGAGTTGAATTCAATTCTTTAATCCTATTGACTTATTATGTTTCTTTTTTCATACATATGTATGTTATTTTTCACAGAGCTCTGTTGTTGTTTTTTCTCCCCTCCCTAAAAATCACGAGATAACTCCACGAGATGACTTCGTTGGGCCGCCTTGTGACTCCATGAGATGTTGAAAGGTGATGCAAGGAATCTGACACTGCACTGTTGCCCTTCTGTTGTCTTGTACCAGTCTTGCCACTCTCCGTTCTGCCCTAACATTGACTAGTCACTGACTGCCACAATTCGCACGTTCAGACCCAGATTTTCGGCTGACAGTCCAGTCTTTAAACACTTTAACAATGAGCCTTTCTTGAACATTTAACGAATTCTGCTGTTCCTGTGTGGGTACCTGCACATGGTGTGGGGACACCTGTGCCGGCATCCGTGAAACCCCAGGTGTATTTCAGAAAAAACAGAACTCATTTCTCTTAAAAAGAAAAACGTTTATTGATTATTACAAGAATGAGTATTAGTATCGTTATGTATTTTTCCCAGCATGTTACAGCTGAACCAGAAAAAAAATGCTGTGCTCCTGTGATTCAACTGAAGTTTCCCCAACTCTAATTTGTGTAAGATGTTCTGCCAGTTAGCATTATGACACAGAGGAGATGGGCAACATTTTTCATTGCAGGGTCAATATTTAGGCAATTTCAGAAATGTTTGAAAACTATACAGCTAACATTTGTTCATCAAGATAAGCATAATTTTATGATACAATTAATTTCAGATTTAGGTTTATTCAGCTGTTGATTAAGCCGGTTAATGAAACATGTTTTTAAACAACAATAAATAACTGTAAATTGTCATGGAGTCATCCTGTTCTTCAACATATTGTGGTTACAAAAGCAAGCTTTAGTATAGTGAAATTATTTTAATTAATGAATATTAATCCCATCTTACCTTGCTCTAGCCACCCCTAAATGGCAGAAAGAAAACATAGAACCTGTTGAGACTGAAGAAGGAGATGCTGTGGAATTGCCTTGCAACCCTCCGAAAAGTGCTGTGCCCCCACGGATCTTCTGGATGAACAGCAGTGAGTGCCAAGTAGTTCCAGTCTAACTTTAAAGCTTTATATATTTTTTAAAGTGTGTGGACTTTTCTTATTTGCTCCCTTTGATCTATTAAAGCTGAATGCCATTAAACATTTTTGGGAGGATACAGTACAAGTCACATAATTTACCTCTAATGACTATGGGTTACTTTATGGGTTCTTGTCTTCTGGTGCTTCTGTGAATGGATGAGGGGAGACCTCATTGTTTATCCACCCCTCCTCTTCTCCATTCATAGAAGGCTTTGAATTCTGTAAACATAATTCAAGGAGTTTTGTGAATGGAGCTGATTGGTTAATTTTAATGTGCATAATCTGGGCACAAGTCCACTTCAGTTTCAGACTGCTTTGTGAACATTTTGCCAAATTAATTTTTTTTTGGTAATAAAGGCTTAATAAAGTTTTTGTAAATTGTTACATAAAGATGAAAAGAAAGACAACCAGATGTAAAATAAATAATCTCATACATCACATAATGTTACAAATAATAGGCATTTCAGTTATAATTCAGCAGATATGTGGTGGTTATAGCGAATACAAATTTGTAATTAGGTAAAAGGTTACAAAACATAAGTGTGCAGTAACAGACGAAACTGGGGGGACACAGAGGCCAGACTGAGAGGACACATGTACCAGAGTGAGGGGAGACACAGGGGCCAGACCGAGAGGACACAGGGGCCAGACCGAGAGGACACAGGGGCCAGACCGAGAGGACACAGGGGCCAGACTGAGGAGAGACACGGGCCAGACTGAGGGGAGACAAGGGGGCCAGACTGAGGAGAGACATGGGCCAGACTGAGGGGAGACAAGGGGGCCAGACTGAGGGGACACAGGGGCGAGACTGGGGACACGCAGAGGCCAGACTGAGAGAATGCAGGGGCCAGTATGAGGGGGTACACAGGGCAGGACTGAGAGGACACATCTACCAGACTGAAGGGGGACACAGGCCAGACTGAGATGACACATGTACCAGACTGAAGGGAGTCAGAGGGGAGAGGTGGGGAGGTGGGGGGTGCCGGTCCCCAGCAGCACCGGTCTGGTGGCGGACTGTGGCGACGGATGTGGCCAGGCCCCAACAGCACCGGTCCGGCGATAGGGGAGGCCGGGCCCCGGCAGTGCCTGTTCGGGGATGAGAGAGTCCAGGCCCATCCAGTGACAGTCTGGCGGTGTGAGAGGCCGGGGCCCAGAAACGGAATGTAAAGAACATGTGTAGGGAAAGGGACCCTGACAACCAGCCCAACTGAGACCCTGCAGAGCCCACCATAGAGAGTCTCAGATGGGCTGTGCATAGAGCTGCAACAGTTAATCGATTTAGTCGATTAAAATCTGCGCCGCTGTATAATGTACTATATTGCACACCACACTTTTTTTTTACTTCCACCGCGCCAAGCTTGCTCCCGTGATGAACTACAATCTTAACACAAACTAGTCGTCAATCACTGGAGCCTTTTTTAAAATCCGATTAACCAATTAATCGAACTTAATAATCGGCCAACTAATCGATTATGAAAATAATCGTTAGCTGCAGCCCTAGCTGTGCAGGATCTATGGTGTGCTCTGCCGGGCCTCAGGTGGGTCCTGAGTCCAGTGCGTTACGGAGTCCAGTGCGTTACGGAGTCCAGTGCGTTACAGAGTCCAGTGCGTTACTGAGTCCAGTGCATTTACAAAGTCCAGAGTCCAGTGCAGTGGTCCCCGGGCCGCGGCCCGGTACCGGTCCGTAGATCAAATGGTACCGGGCCGCAGGCGAAGCAGCGCTCCCGACTCTGCTCTGCCCAGCTCCGTGTCACAGACTTTACTGCGTCTGAGTGGACACAGGGGCCAGACTGAGTGGACACAGGGGCCAAACTGAGGGGAGACACAGGGACCAGTCTCAGAGGACACAGGGGCCAGACTGAGGGGACACTGAGGCCAGACTGAGGGGACACTGAGGCCAGACTGAGGGGACACTGAGGCCAGACTGAGGGGACACAGGGGCCAGACTGAGGGGACACAGGTGCTAGAATGAGGGGAGACACAGGGGCTAGACCGAGGACACAGGGGCCAGACCGAGGGGAGACACAGGGGCCAGACCGAGGGGACACAGAGGCCAGACCAAGAGTAGCACCATTGGAGAAATGGGTAATATTAATATATATTTGAGTGATAATATTATTATAATATTTTTTGTCAGGGTTATGTGATTGGGCTGCTTAGTCTAAAAGGCCTTGGCCTATTTTTTGTCCCAGTCTGGCCCTGCCTCTGGATATATATACACACGGCCACTGATCAATTTATAAATTTATCAAATTATGACCACCTGTCTAATATTGAGTCGGTCCCCCTTTTGCTACCAAAGCAGTCCTAACCCGTCGAGGCATGGATTCCACTAGACCTCTGAAGGTATGCTGTGGTATCTGTCACCAAGCTGTCAGCAACATATCCTTTAAGTCCTGTAAGTTGCAAGGTGGGGCCTCCATGGATCTGATTGTTTTTCCAGCACATCCCGCAGATGCTTTTTCTGATTGAGATCTGAATTTGGAGGCCAAATCAACACCTTGAACTCGTTGTTGTGTTCCTCAAACCATTCTTGAACTATTTTTTCAGTGTTTTAGGGCACGTTATTCTGCTAAAAGAGTACACTGCCATCAGGGAATACCCTTTCCATGAAAGGGAGTTCCTGGTAAGCAACAATGTTTAGGTAGGTGGCACGTGTCAAAGTACAATCCACAGGAATGGCAGGACCCAGTGTTTACCACAGAACATTGGCCAAAGCACACTGTGTCCGTTGGCTTGCCTTCCTCCCTTAGTTCCTCCTGGTGCCATCTCTTCCCCAGTGTGACAACCACGTTCCCAGCCATCCACATGATGTAAAAGAAAACTTGATTCATCAGACCAGCCCTCCTTCCATCGGTCTGTGGTCAAGTTCTGATGCGCAGTGCCCATTGTAGGGACTTTTGGCAGTGTACACGAGTCAGTATGGGCACCCTGACAAGTCTGTGACTATGCAACTTCATATGCAACAAACTGTGCTGCACTGTTATCAAACACCTTTCTGTCTGAACTAGCATTATTTTTTTCTACAGTTTGAGCTACAGTAGCTCTTCTATTGGATTGGACTACATGGGCCAGCTTTCGCTCTCCACGTGCATCATTGAGCATTGGCCGCCCATGACCCTGTCACTGGTTCACCGGTTTTCCGTCCTTGGACCACTTTTGGTAGGTCCTGACCACTGCTGACTGGGAACATCCCAGAAGAGCTGCAGTTTTTTGACCCAGTCATCTAGCCATCACAATTTGGCCATTTTCAAAGTAGCTCAAAATCGTACGCTTTTCCATTTTTCTGCTTCCAACACATCAACTTCATGGACAAAATGTTCACTTGCTGCCTAAAATATCCCGCCTACTTCCAAATGGTATTGTAACAAGATAATCAATGTTATTCCTTTTACCTGTCATAATGTTATGACTGATATGTGTGTGTGTGTGTGTATATGTATATATAATATATATATATATATATATATTACCATATATATTATTGTATGTATATATATTGGTATTGTGTGGCAATCCCACTGTAGAATTGGGTGTTTTATGATCACCCAGGACTCTCAGCCAGAAGGGCTGAGAGGTGTCAGGATGCACCTGTCTAGATTCTGCTTGGGATCCTGGAACTCGGAGGTTTCAAAGTGATTAAGGAGGGAAGAAACAACACCCAGGTGTTGTGCTTGCTGGAAGCACATGACGAACAGCCAGGGAGGCTGGGAGCATTGGTGAGGCTCAGAATTATTACTATTGAGAGTGGAATCCAGGAGGTTAAACTTGTGTTTTGTTGCAAGCAGTGCATGGATGCTGTATTATACAACCCCTGCAAGGGTATCCAAGGTGGATGTGTGAACTTTTGTTTCGCTAAAAGTGGGCTACCTGGTTGTTATACAGAAGATATTGGGAGTGGACTGCATCCTTAAGCGCTCACCATATGTGCTTATGTCCCCAAACATCAGAATATATAAACTGTATATATAATATTTATTATCTGCAGTAATCCAGTAGCATATGGGTAGGAGGATCTGAAGCAGAAATCCAATATTTAGAAATTTCATTACGAACAGCATATAGTATACTAATAGTTTTTATTTCTAAATATTCCATTTGAGCAGTAATGTTCAGAATAAGTTATAGAATTATGTTATGCTCATATTAAAAATTACATTTACAGTTAGGTGTTATTATTTATTGATAATTCTTTCTGCTTTATATTACATGATTGTCCCTCACAGCACACTGGGAAGAGTATAAATACTTTTAGACTGATATTTATGTATTCTCTTTATAGATCTAATGTGTAGTTCTTTTATCCTCTCTTTAGCCCTACTTCACATTATTCAGGATAATCGTGTCTCAATGGGGATGAATGGAAACCTTTATTTCTCCAATGTGAAAGTGACAGATCACCATCCTGATTACATCTGCCATGCCCAGTTTGTTGGAGCCAGAACTATTGTGCAGAAGGAGCCCATTGAACTTAAAGTCAAGCCAAGTAAATATTTGTTTCTTTTGTGATTCCACTGTGTTTGGAAGAATGTATGTGTTAAGCACTATTTGGAATAAATATATATTATATTTTAGAGAGTAAAAGTCTGTACAATAATTATTAAGTGACTTTTACTTTCTGTGGAATACAGCGCTGCACAACGCATGATGTATGTTGTTATGCACTGCTGTGTTTTTGAAGTGACCACTACTGTCTAGTTTGTTGGGGTGCAATAGACAAAACAAAAAATAAAACACAGTACTGTGCGGGACATCCTAAAACATTTAATGTGAAAATGGCTTAATGTAGCTTAATGTACCATAATGTGCCTAAACCTCAATCGATTGCCTTGAAACTTTGCACAACCCAAGTGCTCAGCTTCCCAAACCTATCCTGAAGGTTTCATGGATTTTGGTTACCCACAAGGCAAATAAGCTTGTTTTTTTGGGAGCTTAATGTGGCTTAACGTACAAAATACAACTTACATGTTAACCAATTTCCCCCAAACTTACCATACTACAAGACTCTATCTATGCCAGCATATTCTGAAGATTTGGGGTAATTTGATAAAACATACCAAAAGTTATTCACATTAAATGTTTTAGGATTGTAATAAAATAGTTTAATGTGAACAGCTTAATGTAAAAAGAGCTTAATGTGTAAAAAAGTATCTAAACCGCAATCAATTGCCTTGAAACTTTGCACAACCCAAGTGCTCAGCTTCCCAAACCTATCCTGAAGGTTTCATGGATTTTGGTTACCCACAAGGCAAATAAGCTTGTTTTTTTGGGAGCTTAATGTGGCTTAACGTACAAAATACAACTTACATGTTAACCAATTTCCCCCAAACTTACCATACTACAAGACTCTATCTATGCCAGCATATTCTGAAGATTTGGGGTAATTTGATAAAACATACCAAAAGTTATTCACATTAAA